GGCGTCACGGCGGCGCCCGCACCCGCGACCAGGGCCGCTCGGCCCTCAAGAGCCGCGCCTGCACCGCCGGCGCCGACCGCCGCTGACTACGGAGTAGGCAACTATGGAGCCGGCGATTTTGGAACAACAGCCCCGGCACCCGACGCCAGCCCTGGTGGCATGGAAATGTACCTCGGCGGCGCGGCGACCACCGTTCCCAGAACAGAGGGGAGACGGCGAGCGGCCGCTCCAGCTCCAGCCCCAGCACCATCCCCGCCGCCAGCGCCAGACCCAGTGCCTGCCAAAGACACCGATGAATTGGAAGAGATTGTGGAATTCGAAGATGCACAAATCTACCTAAACTAACGTACATATTTTGTACACGTTAAACTATGGCGACGATCACGCCCGCGCACGCGTGCGCACACACGTGCTCCTAAACGCCAAGCGCGCCCGGTGCGAAGGCTCTAAAGGTTCCGCCGAGCTGTGTAGGTGAGATCTTGATGCTGCCTTTCGCGCGCTTTAAATCCAAATCGAAGTATTCTTCAGATGGCGCCCCCGTCGTGGACGCCGCAGCAACCACCATGTAGGCGTTGTCTGGCGATACTGCGCAGTGCAAACCTCGGCCACCGGCGCCGCTAAAAATCGCAAATGTCACTTCTTCTTCCGAGATGTCCTTCCTGGCCTGCACAAACTTGCAACCGTTGAAAAACAGCGTTCTGCCGGCGCCGCTCATGAACTCAGCAATGTAGTCCGCTTCCGAGGTGACTGGCAACGCAGACTGCAAGTAAGATCTGTCAGATTCAGCCCTCCGCCCGCTATTAGTGCTACTGGGGGCCGGGCGGATACTTACACCGTCGCTTTGTTGATAATCATAGGACGTGGATGAGCGCAAGTTGTCAGCAGTCACATCAACATGCCAGTACCAGCCATGCATACCGTCTTGGCTCCAAGCCCACAAGAGTGTCCCTTCGCTGTCGTACATCGCCAGTGCGTCGCACTTGCCCACCAAGCCAGCCATATAGGCTTCCATCTCGGGGTCGCCCTGCGGTCCATTGGCTCCATTTCTAACGCGTTCCTCCATTAAGGATCGCATACTCTCTGAACCTTGAGCAATAGGCATTTTTACAGTAACGCAATGTTCCCTAAAACAACAACAGCCAAGGCGGACTGGCTGTCCCAAAACCGCTCCGACGAACAAGCTCGGTTGCCCCTTTCTTTGTTTGCTCAGCCAGCTGCCGAAAATCGCTTCAAGAAAAATGAGAAATGAGAGGGGAAGGGATGGGCCAGAGAACAGGGCCGTATGGCGACCCGAGAAGGGGGTATGACAGTCGGAGAACAGCGCCCTATGGGAAGCCGTCCTGGAATTCCAGAAATGAGCCACAGGAGCGACCAAAAGACAGAGCTTGGGGAGAACCGTCCCGGTATGAGGAGGTACGGCACGAGAAAGAAGAAGCACCGCGCAAGCAAGCCCAAACAACCAACGTAGAACGGAACATGCAGACTTCCGGAGTGTTGGCGGAAGAAACCAACATGAAGAACGGCGTCCTACTGAAGCACACGTTGCCATTGGACGCTCGTAAGCCCGTCTTGAAATGGTGGCTCTTTGTCTTCTCAAATAAGTCTAATATGGACAATAGTAAGTCAAATCTCCTAATAGCTCCCCTCTCGTACTGTGTAGAACACAACTAGGTCACCTTTGTAGAAACGTTGACTCTGGGAGATAGTAGCTGTTATTTGTTTGGTAGTGATGCCAGGGTTGCCGATGTGCCGATAATGCATCCAACGACGAGCAAGCAACACGCGGTCATTTGCTTCAGATGGAACTCAAAGAGGGGCGAGACATGTCCGTACCTAATGGATCTCAACTCCACTAACGGAACATTCCTAAACCACGACCAAATCGAGCCGACACGCTACTACGAGCTACTTCCCGGAGACATTATCAAGTTTGCGAAGTCGTCTCGCGATTATGTAATCATGAACGATGAAAGGGAGGACGAACCTTCCTCGTTGGACGATGAGCAGGATGACCTGTCCGAGGCCAACGCAGGCGGGATCAAGTCTGAAGGCACAGGCTCCCCAAAAGAGGCCACATTGGACTTGCCTTATGAGGCCAAGCAAAAAACAGGACAAGAAGACACACAACCTAGCGAAGACAAAATTCTGGCAGACTTGATACAAGTCGAGCTGGCGAAAGAAAGAGCCAAACGGAAGACGAAACGAGGCGGGCATATTTAGGCCAGGCCGGGCGAGGTGGACATTCAACTGTACAGCAGCTGGCATGGGGGGTTACAAACTCAAACAGTAATACTGGAAAAACGTCACGCGTTTTATGATGATTTGTCAGATTCAGTGGACTCCACCGGAGGCTCGTCTTTAGCTATCCACCTAAACTCATCGAAATCAATATACTTGTCTCCATCACGGTCGCTCTCTCGAAGGAACTTTTCCAACACACGGTCGGAATATAAGGTGCCAAGCACCTGCCGCATATTTTCCACACTCACCTGGCCTGTTCGTGAACGATCGAACTTCCAGAATGTGGTTCTTAGATGACCATCGTCCAACGGTATAACAGACCCAAGGAAACAACAAATGAAATCTGAAATCACATGTTAGTCCGGTCATACTACACGGAATATAGGGCGACGGAATCTCTGGGTTTGTAAATGAGGGTTGAGATATGGGTGAGACATGGAGGGAACGAGTCGTGGAGTACGACGGAAAGGGTGGATAGAAACGTACCATTGAAATAGATGCCACCCCGATCAAATATATCCATAGCCTCTGCAATTTTACCCGCCTCGGCTCGCGATAGTGTAGGATCAATCCGAGTCAACAAACTTTCCAGATCCGCAGGTGTAAGGACCCCTGTACCGCCATGGTCCGCATATGAGAAAAGGGTGTCAAGATCCCACATCTCGTCAGTGGAAAGACCGAAGGCCATCAAACTCAACACTACTTTCCGGAAGAACTTTTGGTTTGGCACCCTCCGCAAGGCAGGGACCGCATTCCTCAGCTTATAGCCTAGCTCTCCCTCAGGCAACCGAAAGGCCAGCGGGGTGGGTCGAAGAATCCATTGCTAAGAAATACACAGGTAAGGCAGTGAACGGACCAGAACGGGACGGGCATGAAAGAGGAGTTAAGGTAGCCTGCGCCGGGGACTGACCCGGGGCTCAAGCTCAGTACGGTGGGCTGTAACGGTGGATGTATGTTGCTCACGTGTCGGTATGCTGATTCAGCGTCTATTCTGTCGTTCGGGTTCTGGGTCAGGAGGCGCTGTAGTAGGTCCTTGCATTCGGATGAAAGAGCGGCAGCGCAGGTTGGTGGCAGTTGCACGTGGAAATCACTGGCGAGAATCTTGTTTGCGATTTCCGACTCTGAGCCGTGGAAGGGGGGGTCTCCGGTAAGCAGCATATACATGATGCAGCCTACACTCCAGAGGTCGCACTGCGAGGTGTAGTTGCCGAGCAAGACCTCCGGCGCGACGTACGGCAACGATCCGCAGGCCGCCTTCATCGGCCGGGACTCGTAGCTGAAGGAGCGAGCGAGTCCCAAGTCAATGAGCTTTAGTTTGGGGATGCCTGTGGACGCCTTCCCCCGGAACTCTACGCGGGGATTGACCTCGGTGGCGAGTTCGGCCGGCACAGACTGCGCTGGCGGTGACACGACAGAGACGGGCGATGGAATGGCGGGCGAAGAGTGTGTCCCCGGCTCGCCACTGGAACGCCGCTGTCGGTCTGACATGCCCCCGGTCCGGCCTCGCATGAGCGTGGTTCCTTCCACGGAGGTCTGGGAGAGACAACCATCGATCAGAAAGTGGTCCGCCTTGATGTCCCTGCTCACCAGCTGCTCGTGGTGCAGGTGGCCGACCACTCGCAGAATTTGGGTGATCAGGGCGCGGGAAATCTGCTCGTTCTCCCGGTAGAATTCCGCAGTCAGCTTGGCGCCTCTGAAGCGGCGCCGGATCCACTGCAGCAAGTCCCCGTCCGGACAATACTCGATAATGAAATGCACCGCAAAGTTGTCTTCCCACACCTCCAGCAGCCGGGCCACGTGCGGGTGGTCCAGGCGGAGCGCGACCTGTGCCTCATTCCGCATGTAGTTCACCTTTCCCGTCCGCTTTAAGAACGATTTCATGGCGACCCGTTTCCCGGTCATGCGGTGCGTCGCCAGACGCACCTGCGCCGAGCGGCCGCTGCCCAAAAGCAGGCCTTCCACACGGTACATGGAAGACACGTCGCCCCTCTGCACACGTCCGATCGTTTGGATCACGAGGCCCGCGTTCGCGGCGTTCAGCAACTTCACCACCATGCGCCCCCGCAAGTCAAAGAGCCTGGGCGGCGGGAGTTCCGCTGCGTAAGCCACCTCGCACGCCTCATTCTTGAGCGATACGTTATTGGTGTCCTTGTGGAATGACCAGGGGAAACATTTCATTCTAAAAATGTGTCCCTCTCCAACGCGCCAAGATGGGAGCGCAAGTCAGTGTTCCGTCATGTGATGGCACTGGTACTTGGCCAGCGCCTGCTCCGGAATGACCGCCTTGCTCTCCCGTGCCCACCCCTCAGCGCCCACTCGCCGCTGTCGCGGCCGGTACACGCCGCAAATCAACCGCTCCCACCAATCCCAGTTGTTCCCCTCGTAGGTCAGCCGCGTGCATGAGCCCACTCGCACGTGGCGAATCGACCGCAGCCAAGGGTGTCCCAGCAGGTGCTTCCGCAGGCGGGCCACCTCCTCCTCCACAGCCAATTTGGCTTCTGACTCTGACACTTGCCACACGATGGCGAACTCCAACTGGATGTCCAGCCGCCGCAGACAGGAGTCTCGCACAACCAGTCGCTCCTTGCGAGGGCCCGCGTCCAGGTCCTTCCCGTTGGGTTCGCGTTCCACTTCCTCCTCCGGCCCAAGGGTGCCGCTGTCGTCGACCGTGCAAATTGTGGATAGATTCTGGACCTCATTCGACGAGTCCTGGAAGGTAATGCTGGCCAGCAGCTTCTCCTGGAGCGTGTCAGAGGGTCGATAGTGTTTAAGAAGCAGCTTGCTGGCGTGCGTACCAAAATTCAGCAAGTCTCCGTTCAGCGGAGGAAGCACAGCCTGCTGCCGGGCGCCGTCGAACGAGAGGATGAGCAAGCCGTTTTCGCGGAATTCCGTGTCCTCCGAAAAAGGTGAGAGCGGTGAGGCCAGGTACTGCGGGCGGTCACAAGCGTCGTCGCCCTCATCGTCTCCCGTCCAATCGCACGACTTCGCAAATTCAATTCCGCCCAACATAGAGTTGTGCTGCTCCACCCGTTCAGCCTCTTCCAGCACATTTATGATCTGCTGTCGAATACCCAAATCGTCCGACTGGTTCAGAATCGTTCGCAGGCGTTCCTTCTGCATCGAAGGCCATTCCCGTATAATGTCAGCTGCAGTTTGGGCATCGTCGGAGAACAGATGTACAAATGCCTTCCGCGTTTTCACCCTAATGGGCCGCTGCAGTATATTGGAAATGGCATTCTCCACTGCCACAAGAGTCATTGGGGAATCCACAAATCGAATTTTGACAACCTGTAATTTCGGGAATAAGACCGCACCCATCTGACGGTTGTGGTGATAGACGACAGTGCCTCCCTCATCCGGCGATATTCGGCGAATGACGCCCGGAACCATGGAGAAAAATTTCATGATCGGGTCCTCCAAAATACTAAACTGGACGATACTATGGTCAAATTCAATTTCTTCCAAGTTAGGCGCGAATGCCAGACAATTTTCGAACAAAGGAGTAATCCATCGGGCCGCATCATCAAAGTTGCCTACGCGAATCACGGCGCGGCGCAACTGCGGAAACGTGTCGGGAGTCCACAAACCTCCATTGAACACCGACATCCAGTAGTCACTATTCCCTTTCTTCGAGTGATGGCGCGCAAAAGGAGAATACTGAAAGCTCATGGTCTGCATGAACCGCATAAGCTTTTCAGGTTCGCTCGGAACCTTTTGGCCCTCGTTCTTGAGCTTAGGTCGCGGCAAAGCGTTCTTCGGATCAGTTAAAGAAGGCGACATAATCAATGTGCCGTTGAGAATGAGAGTCTTTAATTTGGGGAATCTGGCTATCCCCAGAATGCGTACCAACGCCAGGAAGTTAGACAACCCCCATCCAGAGAATTCGAGGTGCTCCAGGTTGGGATAATTCAGGCCCTTGGCACCCTCCCAGCCCCTCAAGAAGTCCTCACGATCTTCTTCAGAATCCAGTGATGTCAAAAGCATATCCTTTATCTGGCGCCCCCCCTTCATCCAACATGAGTCATGATTCATTCTTGAACATCGGCATTCCGGACACCATACCCTGATCTGATATCTGCGGGAAAGCTCTGGGTCAACCTCACTATTTAACGGGTCCAAATGCGAAACCTCATCCGTTTGTTTCCGATCTTCCTCAACGTGCAAATGACCAAAACACTCCCGAATCATCTCGCTCCTTGCATGTATACACTCATCGATCACATCCCTGGGGCAAACCCGGCTCGGCGTTGTGTTCCATGGAATAGGACAGGAATCGTACGCGGAGAAAACGAATTTCTTCAATGTTTCATGTTGAACACAAAGTATGCTCAACATGTCAAGGAGTGATAAATCGTGCGGCATGGGTATATTCTGGGGTTCCATAACAGGCGGGGTGATGACTGAACGTGGGTGTAATGCCAGTGGCAGATGACTAAATGAGAAACTTCGCAATGTCATAGGAGGGAGTAAATACCTATAGAAGTACGGATGATAAAGCTTCATCTCCTTTGCGCTCCGTCTATGAATAAATTGAGCAACCCTTCGTGGCTTGTGGAACATATGCGATAATCCACCCACAGTGGGAGTCACTGAAATGTGAGTGAAGTGCGATGGGATGGCCTTATTTTCCTCATTCTGAAATATTTGTCGTCTGATCGCCTGTCGGTCAGAGAAGGACAAATCGGCGTTAACGTGGGCGGTTAACGTGAGAAAGATTTCAGTCAGTCGCCGGTGAGCAAGAGCAAGACGTAGGGCATCTTTCAATTCAAGATAATTGAAGATAAAGGAGCATATCTCAATTCTAAACATCCATCCAAAAACGTGTGCGCGCGCTATCGAACGATATGCAAACGGACCCAAAACGCGAATTGGGTCAGTACGATGATAATCTAGCTGATGGCTTCCAAGGAATCGACAATCGCTACTACTATTACATCGATCCCAATGAAGAAGAGATTATAGAGCCGATATCTCTGGAAATCGTTGGCGAATATGAATATGCATATTGCAACGATGACGACGAATTGATGATGGATAAATACCTGATAGCTCAGCATAATGTATCCACTGTGGACTATGAATTGTTGCTGATGGCCCATGATTGGGTGGATTTGGATCAGTTAAGTGATGTTCAAACCTTTCAAGAGAAGGTTGCCGATGCAAATGCTAAACGACAAAAAGGTGTTGAGGTGAATGACACTTTTTCTCGACGCTTGATAGATAGTAGCATAAAACAAATCCGTCTCGAACGAAAGATGGCTCCGTTACCTCCCACCTTAGACGAACTAGACGGGAGAGTTCGAGAAAGATTTTCAGGTCGTCACGACCCAATAAATCCCTTTAGGTATGATAAGGACAATTTCGCATTATGGCTCAAGGACTCAACGAGACCGTTTGCACGGGAGCAAATTGACGTAGGAGTAAAGGAACTGAAAGCAAAGCACCAGCATCTAGCGGAATGTCCCATACAGTCTTTCCCGCCGGTTAACTTCAGTCCGGAGTACACAATGTTCATGGATTTAAGGACCATTGAAGCACAGGCTCAAAACAAAATTCGCGCTTTGGACCTAAAAGCGAGCGTGGCTTATGACATCCACAACGTGTTACAGCCAGGGAAAAAACCCAAAGCAGCGAAGAAAGTGGAGAAAACAACGACGAGGCTCCAGCATCGGAAGTCCTAGTGAAGCGAATGGAATCGCGTCGACGCTAATCTGCCTAAAGTCTGCTTCTGTTTATCCCCCACTGCTCAGGCCTGTCGACTCAGGCCTGTCGATTAGGGTCTGTCTCTTAGGTCATCACATTGCTTTTAAGTCTGTACGTCCCCTTTTTTTTGCCCATCCCTCCTTGTCCGTCGACCTGTCTGTCCCGCTCCCTCTTTGATACTAATCCGACATGGAAGCTATTGGTCACTGAACGTAAGCATGAGGGTGTCATTGGCCTGATCATGGCGAATGATTTCTTTGTCAATCAACACCTGGAGCCTCGACGAGATCATGGCTCTGGACAGACCAAACAAACGCCGCCCAGTGGTCATCAGCTCCTCGACAAGCCTCGCTTCAGAAATGCGCCCATTCCTCTTCACGATCTGCGCAATCCGACAATCGACAACAACCGGATCGGCAATAACAGGATCGGCAACACCCAGATCGGCGGCAAGACCTGGATCACTCATTGAAGACGGAGTAAGCGGCCTCTCAGTCTGCCCGTTATGCTTCTTTGCTAGAGAAGCACGGGGTAGAGCCTGAGGGCCATCCCACTGCAGGTTCAGCTGCAAATAGCCTTCCATTGACTTCTTTTCCGCAACCGACGCCGGCTCCTTTCCCCAGGCATAACAAACTATTCCCACGCTGAGAAGCTCAGCCATATACTGGTGGTATTGCCGTGTATGACGGAATCCACAACGACGCATTAACTCCTTGTCACCAAGATAAACCCAGTCAGGAGCCGCTGGCCCAGCTAACCACATCTCTTGGTTGTCTGTCTTACCTTTGTTTGGCTGACACTCAGTGTCAACGACTACTTCGACTTCTTCATCACTCCGTTGACATGTAGAATTCGGGGATGATGTACGGGTCGAAATTACGTCCGAGATCGCATCGAGGATGATACCAGCTCCAGTTGAGCAAATCAAAGTTCGACCCTTATAACTAAACGTGCATACACCTCGGTCTAACACCCATTGGAATGTGGCATTGCGGGCTCCAATCTGTCGCACTACACAACTCATCTGCCGAGTATCGATGGCATCAATCGTCTCATAGCGATCTGTACTATATCGGTTTAATAAGCAAATGCAGAACTCCATTCCTCTGTGCGTGGAAACTTGCATGCGGGCAGATTCCAGTCGGACCACAACGGGTCGCATTAGCTTGCTCTTGGACACCAGTCGACTTGGCAGTTCGCCATCCAAGCCCAGTTGTATCCCGAGGTTGCCCAGAAGTTTTTGAACTTGCTGTTCTTCGCGTGCAGCATTGCCGAGTGCAGACAACCAATCGGATAGCACGAGCTTCTCCACGCGGAAAGACTGGCCTGGTGCCCCTGGTCCCTGTTCCGAATTAGACCCGGGTCCAGTCGTCGGATACGAAGTTGCGTCTGTGTTTAGAACAGCTTCATGGGCCCTTAACAGAACATCGATGAATCCTTCTTGCAAGCTCATGAGCTGATCCGTAGTCCTTAATGCAACTGGCAGGCAATCCTCCGGTAGACAACGCCCCGGTAAGCGTTCCCATGCTGCTTGCGCTTCTTCCCCCCTTAGCTGTTTGCTATCTTCCCCCCTTAACTGTTTGCTATCTAGGTACTCCTTCGTATCCCCTCCAAGTGCCCATTTACCCACGGTGTCTTTGTCGTCCGGGGCATGTACCTCTGCCACCTTCACATTCGGTCCGAGTGTCTTCTGGCTGCTTGTTTCCTTCAAGGAAGGGGCAGGTCCTTGTAGCCGAAGAGAACATGTCTCCCAGTGCACTCCGTGACGCAACATCCATACACCTACCTGGCTCAATATCCGATTCCGATGCCGGACCAGAAAGCCATGCCATAAGGATAACGTGAAGTCGTACAACTCGCGATCGCGTAACTCACCGTCGTAACCCAGCTCGTGGTGATGGAACTCTTGATCGTGACCTGAGCAGTCGTCCACGGGTTGGCAGGAATATTGTACACGGATGTCTTCAATCTGTATAGGAGCGAAAAGATGTTGCAGCTTGTCCTCTATCTGTCCCATCTGCTTGCACAGCTTAAACAGGATGTCCTTGGAATTTTCGAGGTCAGCTCCACTTGGTACTCCACCTCCATCTCCCCCGTCGGCCCACAACGTCGGGAATAAACTTCGTTGGAGCACGGATTCAATCGCCGTTTTATACTCCTTGTTGGTTTCTCCGCTCAGTGCCATCCACCGGGAAAGAATGCGCAGGATTTGTGCGGCCTCCGCAGGCTGGGCCGGGCTTTGACACCGCGGTGTTGACGACCTGGCTAGCTTCAGCCGTGACCTGGGTTTGAAACTCCGCATGCGGCAATACAGACGAGCTCCACAGCGGGTCGAGTTGAATCTGACAGTCAGTGTCGCCCGGCGGCCGTGAGCCGACCCACCCTCAATTCCACCATTACATTCGTCGAAACCTACATTGGTGACCAGAAATGCGGTTTTGAGGCCACGGCGACGGAGAACTTGTCTCAGACCGCCAAAGCTTTTGGCGGTCGGGACCTTCGAGGTTGAGCTTTTGGTAATAAGGCCTACTGGGGTGGGTTCAAGGCCAATTGCCAACAGCTTGTCCAGGTCATAAGTATCCAGAAGCCGAGAAGCTGCGTTGTTGGCCGTCACGTACGCCTCCCAGGCCTCTCGGAGACAGTCGCGAACCCGGTGCCGCACCTCCCTTTCGAACGATTGCGTCAGGACAGGTGTTATTTCCCTGTGAGTATCGTTTACCTGCGAGGACAAATTCGGCCGTCGTTGGTCGGTCCGTCCACAAACCACGAAGTCGTGGCGTTCCAGCCGCAGCTGAAGGGCGGCCCAGTCCACCCCGTCTTCGCAACACCGTTCTGTTCCATGCGCAACATTACTGGAGTACTCATTACCAGACTGTCCATTGTTCAAGTGTGCATTATTGAAGTGTGCAGTATTGGAGTGTGCATTATTGAAGTGTGCAGTATTGGAGTGTGCAGTATTGAAGTGTGCAGTATTGAAGTGTGCAATACTACAACCAGGGGCCCCTTGCTCCTTTAATAAGTCGTCCAAGTGACCCAGCTCGCTGAAATACATACCCAAGGTCTCAGCGACGAACGAGTAACCAGAGCTCAGCAGCCTCGGACGACTGAGCAGTGTACTCCGTGTAGCCTGAGTTTCAAGGAAGGCAGAACGGACCAAGGTGGGTTTCAACCCGACGTCGAACGCAGAGCATATCTTGGTTTGCAGGTATTCTGGGTATGCTGCTAAGAATATCTGGAGCCCTAGGTGGGCCCCAAGAAGCCCCCTCAAAACCCAAAAGGCGTCAGGCGAACGAACAACAGAGCCATCCGCCAGCAAGTCATCCCGCAATTGTCCTGACTGGAGTATCTCATTACACTCCTCGTAGCCGGCGGCCTGGCGCCCGCAGGAGCTGCGGAAAAGCCTCCTTAGGACGACTAGCGCCGCCACGTCCCGGGTGCCGTCCTTGCATTTTCTATCAAAGTAAAGCGTAGCCTTCATGACTTTCTGCGTTGCTTGCCAGTATTCTCGCAAACTCCCGTTTGCAGCCAAGTACGTCTCGAAGAAGTTCACTAGAGAAGCTCTGACGTCCGCATACGCTTCCTGTAGACATCGTTTGTACACAAATCTACCGAAACTCCGATGCGAAATTAATGTTCGGGTGTGTTTGTGGCGCGCGTGTTTGTCGCGCGGGCGTGTTTGCAGAGCGCGTATTCGATTCTGGGGTCGGTCATTGCGGGGGGTTCAGACAACAGGCACTGTCCACAAACAGTATTCAAACCTGGTGGTTAGGGCATCCGCAGCAAAGCTGGCAGCGTACTTGTACACTACGTCATAAGCGGCGCGGTCATCCACGTAAAGCTGCAAGAGACTATGCAGCGGATAAGGGTCGTGGGGGTCCTCGCCCGGTTCCATGAGCAAAAAGAGAGCATGAGTGTTGGTTCGAAACCGGTCGGAGTTTTGTTAAAGGCGGAGTTTTGTTAAAGGCGGAGTTTTGTTAAAGGCGGGATTTTGGAAGAGCTGTGGTAGTTGCAGCCGAAGGACCTGTAGGAGAGTTTCAGGGACGCTGAAGTGGAGCATGAATTTTCAAAAGAAAGGACAAAACAGTGAGGGCGCACCAAATTTTTTAAGGGGCCTTTTTGGGGTTGAGAGAAGATGGCCAGCAAGGACGTTACCACAACGTTGAAGCTGGAGACATGCTCCTACAGCGAAATGAAAATCTACCCCGGCAGAGGCCAGGTTTTCATCTCCAGGTAAGTCTTGTGTCTCGGAATATGCCGAAACGTGGGTGTGTTATTACGTGCCTGTTAGAACCGGGCCGACGGTAGTAGCATGCTGATGTTGTATTCGAGGCGGATACATACATGGCTTCTATGTTTATTTACTTAGGGATGCCAAGACTCACGTGTTCCAGACGTCCAAGGTTGAGTCTTTGTACCACCAGAAGAAGAAGCCGGCCAAGCTGCGATGGACCCAGGCGTGGAGGCGCAACAACAAGAAGGCTGTTGCCAACACCGGTATCGGCAAGAAACGCACTAAGACGACTGTCCGCTCGCAGAAGGCCATCGCTGGTATGTCCCTTGACGATATTGAGAAGAAGAAGGCCGAAGCTGCTGCCAAGAGAACCAACTCTAAGAGATCTGTTGCTCTCCCCGGCAAGAAGAACTAACTTTTTCGAATCAACTCATATATGTCCCTTGGCCATGTCTTCTAATGTACCTGTTCCATCCGTCTTATTGCCCTCATGTATAACATGCTTGCTCCGTACATTAGTTACATCGCATTGCCTGTAGTGCGCTAGTTACAGGGCAGCTGCTTGGATTCACTGCTCTCGGCAGCCGGGAGTTCTGGGCGGTTTGGAACAGGTGCAGAGGTCGGTTTCATGAGGTCTCTGAGAAGCTTGCGGGCGTCCCTAACCTTTTCGTTTACGACGCGTTTGCAGTACTCATTCTTTGGGTTCTTGACAGCGAAGTTTTGGTGGTAGTCTTCAGCCCTATAAAAGTCTGACACCGGTACAAGTTGTACAGTGGTGACTACCGTTCTTGGTATGTGAGCTCCCTCTACTTCCCAGAGCTTCTTGGCACGGCCTATTGCATCCTGGGCCGTCTGCAGGTCTTTGGCGTTGTGCACGAATATGGCGCTGCGGTACTGACGTCCTTGATCTTCGCCTTGCCGGTCGAGTTGAGTCGGGTCGTGTACCAAAAAGAAGGCGTCGAAGAGCTGGTCGAGACTGATGAGATCATCGTCGTAGACAATGTGTACCACCTCTGCATGGTCGGTGTCATCCACTGTCTCGTAAGTGGGTACAACACCGGCCACCCCTCCACAATATCCCACCACACACTCTTCCACACCCCTCAAGTTCTTGAAGATCTCCTGATGACACCAGAAACAACCACCAGCTAACGTAACTCGATTGATCATCTCAAAAAAACACAGATGCCCTATTCACGTTAACACCGTGCAAGTCGACAAGCCGCAGCCGACCACAGCTGCTAATAGCCGAGTGGCGGCAATGGCTTTGTGGTCAGCCAACACCGATACCGGCAAGAAGCGTACTAAGACGACTGTCCGCTCGCAGAAGACCATCGCTGGTATGTCCCTTGACGATATTGAGAAGAAGAAGGCCGAAGCCGTTGTCAAGAGAACCAACTCTAAGAGATCTGTTTCTCCCCGGCAAGAAGGACTAACTTTTTCGAATCAACTAAACACTCGTCCCTTGGCCATGTCTTCTAGTGTACCTGTTCCGCCCGTCTTATTGCCCTTCATGAGGTCTCTGAGAAGCTTGCGGGCGTCCCTAATCTTTTCGTTTACGACGCGTTTGCAGTACTCATTCTTTGGGTTCTTGACAGCGAAGTTTTGGTGGTAGTCTTCAGCCCTATAAAAGTCTGACACCGGTACAAGTTGTACAGTGGTGACTACCGTTCTTGGTATGTGAGCTCCCTCTACTTCCCAGAGCTTCTTGGCACGGCCTATTGCATCCTGGGCCGTCTGCAGGTCTTTGGCGTTGTGCACGAATATGGCGCTGCGGTACTGACGTCCTTGATCTTCACCTTGCCGGTCGAGTTGAGTCGGGTCGTGTACCAAAAAGAAGGCGTCGAAGAGCTGGTCGAGACTGATGAGATCATCGTCGTAGACAATGTGTACCATCTCTGCATGGTCGGTGTCATCCACCGTCTCGTAAGTGGATACAACACCGGCCACCCCTCCACAACATCCCACCACACACACTCTTCCACACCCCTCGAGTTCTTGAAGATCTCCTGTTAACCATAGAAGCTACCAGACGACTTCCACTTGGGGCTTCCACCTTTTATTGCCTGTTATTCGTTGGAATACTGGGTCGTTATCTTTCTAAACCGCCGTCGAGATCGGGGACATCGAATTCGCCATCAACAAGAGAAAACCGGCGGAAGTTCCCATTAGCGAGATCCATCCATGAGCGAGTCGAGATCAGAATCAACGGACGCATATGAGCGAACACTGGCATGGTCTGCTTCTCCATCATTCTCATCGACACTAGAAGCATAACGGTAGACTGACTGATTGCACTGGGTGCCGTGTCGTCGATTGGGGTGGGACCTAACAGCAGACTAACTTGCGAGCAGATTCGGACTGTCCCCCCCCCCCCCCCCGTAAGACTCCTCTGTATATCGAGTCTGTGGTTTTAACAGTCTTCCCGCGGTCGACAAAACCTTCTTCAAAATCTGTTACACACCACGTCCGGAAGCCGCCAGTGCCCGGATGGATGCTTTTGATGAATGGGAACTTTTGATGAATGGGAACTAGTTACGGGCGACGACGAGTTCCAAGTGATCGTCTCGAGGAGGGCAAGAGATATCGAATCTCAGCAATCCTCGCCGTCTAGAAGAGCGTGCTGTTGCGCCCGCTGTTTTTACGAAGTCTAGGGCAGTGCACGAGTCTGTGGCCGGGACCGCCGCAGAAGGTGCACTCTACATCTGTTTGGTGGAGGCCGCAATGTTCGGCGAGGACGGTGAGAAATTTGGGGAGAGTTTGACGTGCCTGAAGTAGGACCGAGCGCAGGTCGAGGAGGACAGTTTCGTTAGCGAGGCAGGCGGAGGTGACGAAGGTGGTGGCGAGGCCGGATGTGGTTCGGCCGGAGGTGGTGCCAGCGCTGAGTTGGTCGCGGCCGGTACGGCCGACTCGGTGGACGTAGGCCTCGATGTCTGGGGGCATATCGTAGTTGATGACGTGGCGGACGCGCGGGAAGTCGAGGCCCTTGGCAGCGACGTCCGAGGCTACGAGCACATCTGCACGGCCGGCTGCGAAGCGCTCGAACGCGTCCTGCCGGTCCTCCTGACTCAAACCGCCGTGGATCGCAACCGCCTCCACCCCGCGTCGTAACATCGTCTCGAACACCGCATCCACGTCCAACTTGCTGGAACAAAACACAATCACCGGTGGCGGCGTCTCTACCAATGCCCGCAACAGGAACTTGAGTCGCACACGCGCCGTGTGTGCAACCAACTCCACGCGCTGTCGTACCTCTGAAGACACACGCACACTTCCACTGCCCATGGAAGCCGATACAGGCCACCGTAACAACGTCTTCGCTAATTCGCGTACCTTCGGTGGCATCGTCGCCGAAAACAAGGCCGATTGCAGCCACGGTCGAACTCTCTGCGCGGGCAGGGGGCGGTTTCCTGGCGACAGGCGCTCGTCCCGCGGGTGCAGGTAATCCAGGATGGCCCGGACGGTGTCCAGGAATCCGGAGCCATCCAGCAGCCGGTCGGCTTCGTCGATGACGAAGTAGCGCACGCCCGCCAGAACGCAGAACCCCCTGTCCAGCACATCCTTCAGGCGCCCCGGCGTCGCCACCAGGCCGTGGCTGTTCGCCAACACGCGCCCCTGTCCCGACGTGGATACGCCGCCGATCGCGCAGGCGCACCTCAAGGGCACACGCGTGCGGTACGCGTCCGAGAGCACAGCCAACAACTCGTTCGCGTTCCCCGCAATTTGCAGCGCCAACTCCCGACTAGGGACCAGCACCAAGCTGCACGGCCAGGGACTCTCAGTGCCGGGGTCGTCATACCCGGGGGCGCCAGGCCCAGGGGGGCTGCCAGATCCGGGGCCACCGGACCCGGGGCGTCCGTCTTGGCCGAGTGGCGGTCTGCGGCTCCGAAGTGGCTGAGCGTGTTGACTCCGCAAGGACTGAGTCCGGAAGGGCTGAAGCTTGTAGCTGGCCAGACAGACGAAGGCCATGGGGAGCAAATAGCAGAGAGTTTTCCCGCTGCCGGTGCCCGCGACACCCAGAAAGTCTCGGCCAGACAAGAGCGTGGGCAGAGAGACCTGCTGGATGGGCGAGGGTGTCCTGATTCCCTTCTCTCTCTTTAGGTGTTCCACCAGCGCCGCCGGGAGCCGCAGATGTTCGAACTTGAGCACGGGATACACGTGCTCGGCTGTGCGGCCCTCATCCGCCCCAGTCCCGACCCCGCCGCCCACGTCTGGGACCTCCGAGTCTTGGACCCGAATGCCGGAGTTATTGAGCAGAATAGTTCTCTCTCTTCCAGACAGCCGCTGGTACTTGGAGTGGGGCCGCCAGCCCAGCCAGCGGCGGCAGCGGCGACTCTCTTGTTGGTCGGGTCCGGTTTCTTCTCGGGGGCGCAGCAACGGCTGCTGGGCGGCCGCGAGTTGCCGCAAAATGCGCAACTCCGCCTGCCGCGCCATCGCCTCCTCATCCAGCGGCGCCACCCTCCGTTCCAACGCCACCTTCTCTGCCACCAGCGACATCGCATTCGGCGCCGTCTCCGCAATCACGCCCGTCTCTGGTGCACCGGCCCCCAACAACACGCGACCCGACTTCAAGGAACCACCCGCCCCCAAAGCGTCGGCCCGGCCCTCTCCCTCTCCTTCTTTACGTAAGACCGAATCCTTCTTAACTAAGACCGAATCCTTCTTAACTAAGACCGAATCCTTCTGAACCAAGACCGAATCCTTACGTAAGGTCGATTCCTTACGTAAGGCCGACTCCTTGGCTAAGGCAGATTCCTTACGTAAGGCCGATTCCAGCAACTCCAGCCGCCGTTTCTTCGTCATTCATGCCGCCAAAAAAGCCTCCCCCCCGGTC